CCAGCAGGTGCCTTCTTGCCGGGATGTCTCTTTCCACCCGTGCTCATAACACGTGCTGGCAGCCCCCGGTGTCACCCTGAGCCCATGCTGTTAGATCATTTTGAGAGTTTTTGTGTGCCACAGCTCGGAAACCCCAACCAATTTGCGGGTGCAACGGAGGGAAAATCCCACCAGGAGTGCTTCTGTAAGTTAAACCCAGCCCACGGTGCACTCCCGGGCCAGGTGCTGTTTGCGATGGGTTACAGCCAAGCACATTTGCCAGAGCTCAGAAGACACCAAATTCTCTCACAATCAGCTTCATTTAGCTTATGCTAAATCCATAAGACCAGACCTTTATCTGCATAGATTTCTTCTTCCAGTATGAAACACAAACTTGATTCTGCTGTGAGAAAGTGAACGACAGAGAAATTTGACCTGTCACCATTATCAACATAGGACATGAACAAGGGCAGGTCTCCGTAGAGCTGGAGCTTCAGGCTGCTTAGGTTTCCCAGCATAATTTGATGTTCATGTTATAACTTTAAGATTATTGATGAAATTTTATAGGCAAGATAATTTTTTCTTTAGTCAATGCTTAGGGCCTGGCAAACAAGGATGCTTCCTTTAGGAAAACCAAAATGAAACCAAATGTCTTTCCAGTTCTGATCTTTAGATTTCACCCATAGTAGAAGGCTTTTGTCTTCTGAATGTCTTCCTATACTAATGCCTATCCCATGAGGTAGGCATCCTGTCCTAACACTCTCCTAACACTCTCACATTGTTAGGAGTTCCTCCTACTGTCTTGCTACAGACTAAGTCATTTCACCCTACCCTCAATAAATAAAATGGACAAATTTGGCAGCTCATCACTGCTGCATTTTTAAAATGTATCTGAAGACTTGATGGTATCTCACCTCAGTCATCTCTCTAGAACAAAGAAATCCAGGCTTTCTAGACATGTCATTATTTTTCTCTGGTTCCTCACCAATTAGCTCAGATCAATCTTGAAGCTTGGAACCAAGGATGGATACAGTAGGATGCAACCCAAGCCAGCAACTGGATAGAAAGTTGCTTTAGATACTTCCCTTTTTATTGTATACTGTCCGCTGTATAGACATTCACTTGTGGACAGCAGCTGGGTTTGATAATATTTTCCTGTATCTTTATTTTCCTGAAAGGCTCCATGCCCTGAAATAAAACTGGATCTCCCTAGGATTTCCCCCACAAACCAAGACTCATGCTCTACCCTAAACAAGGCAAACCATTTTGTTACATGGCAATGGAAAGGATTAACCCATTAAATGGATGAGGAATCCATTAAATGGATTCCCAAATTTCCTCTTCCTCACAAACTAAGAAAGAGGACCACTTAATGCAGTGAAAGGACAATGCATCAGAGAAAATACTTAGCACAAGTCCTGTGGTATTTATATGCCAGAACATTATTTAGAACTGAGCAGCACATCCTTGCCCCCCAAATTAGTACTAGAATAAACAGGCTACTGAGGTGGCCGACAAGCAAAATGGATCAAGCAAGACTTTATGAAGGCTCATGGAAACTTGGTTTAGTTTGTCCAGGTCAAGTCCCATTACTTCGCTTTGCTACGTTATAGTTGGCTTTAAATCTTATCTCTGCTGAACAGATTTTAGTAAACTTTTTTGTATCCTGGGGTAGTTCCTGTCTGGTCACTTTTTTTATTTATTTTTTATTTATTTTTTTTTCTCTGATCAATCAATAGAAGCAACTGAAACTGGCTGAGTAAAAATAAGCTTGGTTGCTCCAGAACAGTTAAGAGCACACCTGCACTCATAGTAAGATTGTTTGAAAAATAAATGGAAACTTTTCTTTGTTTCATAATATTCTCTTTTATTTTAGGGGATGGGAAAGAGTGACAAGAAACTTCTGGTGTTGCCCCATTGCCCATCTAGCACAGCCTGCTGTCAGCAAGGGGACATGGGATCAGATGTGATGGGGCTGCTGTCTAACCCCTTGCCCTGAGCAGGGCAGAGTTGCTCAGTGTCTCCAGCTGAAAGATGCTGGGGGAAATGTGCCATGAGGGGCTCTGTCCTTGACACAGAAAAAGTGCAGGGCAGGGGAATGGTTTCTGGCACAGTGTGGTGGGGTCCCAGCAGCTGGGTGCTCCACACAGCATGAACAGAGGGGCTCAGCCACAGAGACAAACCGTGGGGGAAATACAGGTGTGTCTGTCAGGAGAGATGAGGTGCAATGAAAAAAGCAAAACATCACAAGAAGTGTTGTGCAAAGCGAAATCCTGGCTCTATTCAGTGCCGCTGACCAAAGTCCCTGTGACTTCAGTGGGGTGAGGATTTTACCCAGGGGTTAAGAGGTACAAATCGAAACTACCAAGATAATTCAGGGCAGACAGAAGTGGAGAGTCCTGCTCAGGGCTGCAGTAACTCAGCCAGCAGCTGCCAGCTGAGAGCATTTACTGATGGCCATGACAGGTGCCATAATCACCTTGTCATCTTGTACTTTGTAGCTCCAGTGATTATTTGGAAATCAATGCACTGGCATGTAAAGAAAAAAAATATGCTTAACGGGACTCTAGAATAGACATCAGGAGCTTCTTATGTGTGAAGATTGTGTTTTGTTTGTTTGTTTGAAAAAGGAGCATATCCAACTAACAACGTGAGCTCCATGGAGTCAAAGACTTTAAGGCCTGAAGGGAGCATCACCATCTTCTAGCCTGAACTTCAATGTAACAAAAGGCTACAAAACTTCACCAGATAATTTCTGCATCAAGCCAATAGCTTCTGGATGAGTTATAGATCATCTCTTGAAAAGACTTTCAGCCTTGATTTGAAGACTTTATGTGACAGAGAGAATCTACAACATCTGTGGGTAGGTAGCTCTCGTCACTCCTTGTGCCTCAGCAGTTTTTATTAATACAGCAAGTTTTCTTGTCATATTAGCATTATCATGTCCTATATCCATCTACAGTGCAACATATGGCAGAAGGATAATGAAAATGCCCAGTGTCTATGACTCCAGTAGATCACAAGTGCTTCCTAAAGTTAAAGAACAGCTAAAATAAAAATGTGCTGGGAGACACTTTTATACCAAGCATTTGTCCCTATAGGGGATCTGAAAAGAGCTGTGTGGCTCCTTCCACTGGGAGGATGCACAGAGGAGACCAGGATGAGTGAGGCTACAGTGGCAGGACAGAAAAGCCATTGTGAAGGAATGGAAAGCACAGGTGTGACCTGACCAGCGTGAATGCACCTTAGTCTCTCTAGACAAAGGACAAGGTGGCTTTGAACCAGGTGCTGGGTGAAATGATGCACAACATGGGACAGAAATGGAGGGGAAGTGACATCTCTCTGCAGGCTGAGGGGGCGGTGATAACACTTCTTGCTGGGATTCAGGTTGTCCATGGACATGGAAAAAGGCTGGCAGAAAGTCATGACTGGGTGAAGAACCAAGGCAGCCCAACGTGCATGCTCAGGATGATGGATGTTTGCAAACAGGTGGGAGAAGAGGAAAAGTTCAGCATTAAGGATAATGCAGCAGAATGATGGAAGAGGGCAAAGGATGAGTTGGATCATGAAAATGTGAGAAGGATAGAAACTACCGAGATGCCTCTCCTCAGGAGAACATCTGAGTCATTTGGGTGAGGAAAGCTCACATAAAGCCAATATTTACTGTGGCCATGACAGGCTGAAAAAGGTTGCCAGAGATTAATCACAGGGGTATTGAAATATAGTTAAGTGTCTAGTGACTTAAGTCCACTGGACTTACTGAAATAAAATTTCTGTTTCAAAGCTCCTGTAGCTTGCAGAGTGGCGAAGCGCAAGTGAAGGCATATCAAAAAGCAGACAGCCAACCATGGAGTTTTGTAGCTCAGTGACCAAAGTCACAAAGAAATTGGCAGAGGGGCACAGAGCTGTCCTCACAAAACATCCTAGTGGGCAGGTGATGAAGTATTTGGAGAAAAGCAAGGAAAACACCAAGAAACTCCAGTCCATACAAGCATGCTCATATAACCCACAGCCCTGTACCTGGCCTTGGGCAGGGATGCAAAGCTAGGTCTGAAAGAAGCAAGGAAGGAAGGGTGGTGGGCAAAGAGCGATGAGAACATGGCCTCAAGCTGAAATGCAGCCCCTGTGCACCCAAAAGGCCCTACAGATCCTCCTCCAGAGACCAGGAGAGCCCCCACTCTGCGGGAAGGCAGGAGGCCTACAAGGCTGAGGAGAGGAGGGACGCGGAGCTGCTTCCCCTCTGCTCTGGGCTTTTTGTGCTGGTCTGGGGCCGCAGTCCCAGCCTTGGCTTGGCATGAGTGGGCCTGGGAGCTGTGCTGTGGTCTGTTTGCCTTTTTTAATGTACATGATGTAGAGGAGCTGCTGTCCCAGCTTTGTGAGACTTAGCCTCTCTCAGTTTAATGCCTTTGGCTGGGGTCAGGCAGGCAGGGACGAGGTGTGTGGTTTCTTCCCATGAGTGGTGAGAGGTCCTCACCGAGGAACTGGGCACGGGTACGGGTCCGAGCAGCCGTTTCAGCACCTCTGATGCTATAACCAGGTGTTTCGGTGCCATAACCAGGTGTTTCGGTGCCATAACCAGGTGTCTCAGTGCCATAACCGGGTGTCTCTCCAACATACAACTCCCAGCCCTACCCTGCTTCAACGACACAACTCAGTGCCAACCCTGAGCCCCCTCCACGCTCCCCCATTTCTCCCCGACCACGCATTTCCCTGGGAGCCCTGTGGGAGCAGGGGAGCCGCCGTTCTCCTGCAGGGTCCTGCTGCGCTCCCCTCCCCGGGGGGCCGTGCCCGTGCCCCCCGAGCCCACCTCCCCGCGGCCTCCCGGGGGCCAAGCGGGGTCCGGGCCTTACCCCAGCGGGCAGCGGCCCCTCCGCCGCCGGTGCCGGCTTTTTGGCATCCCTAATCGCGGCTGGCCCCTGTGATTGGCTGCGCCGCTCTGACCCCGCTCGGGCTCCCGGCTGGGCGGATAAAAGGGGCCTGAGCCGGGGGCTCCCAGGCATTCCCGGAGCGGGCACCAGGGACCGACGGCCGCAGGATGACGGGCAAAGCGGGCGCGGCGCTGGCCCCCAGCCTGCCCGGCAAGCCCAAGCCCGACGGCGCGGCCGCCGCCGCCGCCCCGCCGCCGCCACCGCCTCCGCCGCCCCCCGCGGCGGGGGCTAAGCCCAGCTCCGGGCCCACCCCTCCCCGCTGCACCGGCTTCGGCATCCAGGAGATCCTGGGCTTGAACAAGGAGCCGCCGTCTCACCCGCGGGCCGCCCTGGACTCGCTGCCCGCCGGGCACCTGCTGGCGGCCCGCTCCGTCCTCAGCCCCGCCGGGGTGGGCGGCGTGGGCATGGGGCTGCTGGGGGCCGGCGGCATCCCCGGCTTCTACACGCAGCCCACCTTCCTCGAGGTGCTCTCCGACCCCCAGAGCGTCCACCTGCAGCCGCTGGCCCGGGCCCCCGGGCAGCTGGACAGCAGCCAGACGGCCAGCTCAGGTAGGCACGGCCCCGCTCCCCGGGGACTCCCCCCCTCCCACCTCCCTGCCCCGGGCCGAGGGCCGCCGATTTCGTTTCGGCCCCGAGGAGGAGGAGGAAGCAACCGGGGAGAACGGGGGAGGTGGGCACCGCACCCACCCCCGGCCGGGGCCGCGGCCGCGCTGCGGTGGAGGGGCCGGGGGCGCCGAGCCCTGGCCGAGCGGCCCCCCCCGCGGTCCCGGCGGCCCCATTTCGTTGTCGGGGAATTAGGGGCCGCCCGGCAGCCCCTTCCTAGACGGCGGCAGCCTCCCGCAGCCCTGCCCGCTGGCCCTACTGCTCCCAGGCCGCCTCGGGTCCCTCCGGTGCACCGGGCGGCGGTGCCCGGCCCCGACCCCATCCCCGGGGGTCCCGGCAAGCGGGGCACAGCTTCTCGCATCGAAACGGGGGGCTCGGTTCCGACCCCCGGCTGCTCCTTTGGGGCCGAGCCGGCGCTGCCTTGCCCCCTGCACCCCCCGGCCTGGGCACCCCTGGGGACGCGGGGCGGACGGCGGCCGGCTGCCAGCTCTGCCCGGGATCATTTTTATTATTTTTATTATTATCATTATTATTTCCCCGGTACCTGCCTCAGCCCTGCTCTTTTCCTCCCCTCCCCGGTGTTTCTGCGGGGTCCCCGCAGCGGGGCGGGGGGCAGCGGCTGCCCCGGGGCGGGAGGGGGCCTCGGCTCCTTCTTTTTCCTACGGTTTCTGTTGAGACCGCGGCGGCTTCGCCTTCGAGCCGCCCGGCAGCGGCAGCCCCGGCAAACGACTCCGGGGCAGAGAGGGGACAGCGGGAGCCCGGTGCCGGCCCGGAGCCATCCCCCGGCAGGGGACGAGCTCCCGGAGCCCCCGGCCCGGGACCAGCGGCGGGGCCGGGCTGGAGGCAGCGCCCGGCTGCGGGGCCCCGTCCGCGGTGCGATCGCAACGAAATCCTCGGCCGGGGCCGCAGGAACGAGCGGAGCCGCCGGGCCCGGGTCGGCCGGCGGGGCCCCGGTTGGGAGGGAGCCCCAGCCCACGGCCGCTGCCCTTCCCTCCGCAGATTCCGAAGATGTCTCCTCCAGCGACCGAAAAATGTCCAAATCCTCCCTCAGCCAGAGCAAGAAAAGGAAGAAGAGGCGGCACAGGTAAGCGAGGGGCCGCCGGCACCGGCAGCACCGGGCACCGCCGCGGGATGCTGCAGCCGGGCGAAGCTGCCCGGCCCCGGCAGCCCAGGGCTCCCCCCCGGCTCTCCTTCCTTTTTCTTTCCTTCTCCGCAATAAATCGGACCTGGGACGTGGCCGTAAGGAGCTGGGAACCGGCCGCAGGTGCCGTTTAGATTTCATTTCCCTGGCTGCAGTTAAATAGCCCAAACTGGCCCCCGCTCCGCCTCTAGCAACCTTACCGTGGGCTGTCAATTTCTATCAAGGTTTAAGGCATTTTATTACTTATAAATAAATGTTTTGCCAATAGATTAAATAGTCGGGAAGCAGGCTGCCTGCTTCTCGAAGCTGAAGAAGGCTGCTGAATTGCTTAAGGAAACGAAAATCCACTCTGGGAGGTAGTTAGGGGATTTGCTTTCCCCTCCGGAGCGGTCTGGGTAACGCACTTTGCCTGACTTCTCCCCCAGTTAAAATGGGATTGAATCACCTGCGCTTCACAAACGGAAACGAAAAATCCCTTGCTGGGTCCTGGCATTGCCGTGGCCGGAGAGCCAGGACAAAGGAAGGCCAGACACTGTCACCGTGGGCGATTTAGGAATAATTAAATCAATCCTGCCACGATGCAGGAAGGATGGATTAAAAGATGCCCCAGTGAAAGCTTAGCGGGATGCGGGGTGGAAGGAGGCCGGCTGTCCCAGGAGGGTCCTGCTCTTCCTGCAACAGGAGGCTTGGTCTGGAGGGCACATCCCAAATCAGGGGTTCCTCCCGAGGAAATGCCGCAAGTTTGCATGCTCTGGTGTCAATTTGGATTAGTTTCCTTTCCAGACTGGACTGGGCTGGGGGACAGCATAGCAGGAACGGGTGTACAGGTCATGGTTGGGATGGATGAGAGGAAATGAATTTCAGATTGGTTTAATTTTCAGCTCTAGACAGCATCAAATCCGTAATATTTATCTGTAGTTGTGTATTCTGTAAGAAATTGTTAAAAGCTCCAGTTGTACCGAGGAGCAGAGGCAGGTGACAGGCCGATAGTCTGCAAATAGCTGCAGGATGTAAACAGCAAAAGGCAGCGCGCGTTGTGCATTGCAACGGGGACAGGGGCTGAGAAGGGGGAACTTAAGGTGGGTGTCAGGCAAAACCCTCCTGCTGGTGCGCCTCGCTCGGCTTTGGTGCCCTTCTCGCAGGAGGGTGCAGGGGGATGCTTCAAATCTAAACTGGATCAAAATTGGAATCGTCTTTCCTCTGGTCCCAGGGAGAGAAAATGCAGGAGCTGGTGTGCCTCTGCTGTCCCGAGAGCTCACAGATTTGTCAGAGCCGAAGGAAAACTGTTTGAAAAGAGAATGGATTTAGGAGTGAATTTAAACAAGGATCTGATTGCAGGCAGGTCCCTCGCATTTGCATGCTGCTTTTGTTGGTAATGTTATTGATCTGACAGAATCATTTCGATTCTGAATAGCAGAGGATATTGCTGAGGCTTTCTGTTTATGCTCTCTCGAATTTTATGGCTTTTCTGAAATTCTTATTTTTTTAAATGACTCTTTCCCTCCCTCTTTCCTTCCCCCTTCTGGGACTTAGATGTTTCTTAGTTGGTAATATATTTATACATTTACTTTGAACAAAGGCTGCAGGGTTTTGTTATTGTTGTTGATTTCTGTGTTGGTTTTGTTGGTGTTTTGTTTTTTTTTTGTGATGGTGGTTAGCTATTTTTTTTTTTTGCCACTGGATTGTTGATAGTTTTTATTGAAAATTGCACTTTGCATACAGTAGGGTTGGAGGGTGGGAATTTTAACAATTTTAACCCTCGGGGGAGTTGAAACGGTGTGAGATCTCTCATCCATCCCCCCGGAGAAGGGCTTTCATCCGTCTCGGCTTTCCAGCTGCTGATTTTTCAATCTGGCTGTCCCGAGCTGAGAACTGGCTGTGCCGAGGCGGGCTGGGCTGCTGCCCGCCCAGGGCGGTCCAGGAGGATTTCCAGCGGATAATGGGGTAATGCAAACTGGCAGAGAGCAGCTAATGGGATGTCGGTGTGGGTGCAACCAGTGTAAAGGCAGAGGAAAGGAGTTTGCACCGCTTCTTGGAGAGGCACCGTCTTGGGGAAGGGCTGGAATAAAGCAGGAGGGAGCAGAGTGGAGGACAAAAAGCTTTGGGGGATTCAGGCAAGGACCAGGCTCCAGGGAAAGATGGCTTTGACTAAGGAAGAGGCTAAGGGAAGCTGCTGGGGAAGGGCTCAGCCCCTCTGAGACAGGGTGCAGAGCTGACACCGATTTATCTCAGCACAACCAAAGGGTTAAGTTAAGAAGCCTCTGGGTGCAGGAGGAGGGGGCGGCTGTTGGCCGGGCCAGGGCTGGTTGTGGTCCTGGTGTCAGGGCGAGGGATGGGGACACCCCCAGGGTCCCAAAGGTGGCAGTAGGGCTGGGGTGGGAGGGCAGCTGCCATCGCGGGTGCTCGCTGCTGGGGGGGATGCTTCCAGCAGGAGGTCCCCGAAGGGGAAGGTGATTTGTTACTGCCCAAAGCGCTGTCTTCTGGCATTTTCTGGTTCTCCTTTCACCCTGGCACCTGACCTTTTGTGCTCAGAAACACAGGAGGTGGTGGGGGGAAAGGCTATGCATTATCAGGTTGCTCAGGTTTCTGCAGCATCTGTGTCCATTTCTCTGACTCTCCATCTCCTTTGCTTCTTATGTTTTTTGATCAAAGAGTTTTACTCCCTTCAGGACAATCTTCACATCCTACCAACTGGAGGAGCTGGAAAAGGCCTTCAATGAGGCCCACTACCCTGACGTGTATGCTAGAGAGATGTTGGCCATGAAAACAGAGTTGCCAGAAGACAGGATACAGGTAACCATGCTTCTTGCCCCTCCTTGTCCTGCCCCTCCCGGCCACACTCATCCCTCCCTGAAGAAAAGGCAGTGCCGTGGGACGGATCACATTTATCTGCATAAATCTCCATGGGCTGTCCCCTCCCCGCTTTAAGCGTGCGGGCGGCCAGCCCAGCTGTTCTTTGCTGCTTCGTATTTGGTGTTTGTCTGCCAACATGTGTTACATGTGGCGTGTTACAATGGTGATTTGGGGTGTGTGCAGCAGAGGGAATCCCAAATCACTGAAGGGGACTGGTATGTGAGGGAAGACTGAGGTTTTGAGGTATTAGTAGTGAAGGCAACAAGAGCCTCCTGGAGATTGGGTCTGGATGGACAGCGTGGGTGACAAAGAGCTTGTCAGTGCCTCCTTGGGCACAGGAGGGTGCGTGGGGACGTGGCAGGCAGCTGGCACCATTGGGGGTGGCACTGCAGGGGAGTGAGTCCCAGGCAGGCGTTTGCACCGTCTTGTCCACTGCATTTGCCCCTTCAAAGCTTCCCTGAACATTTCTGGGGATCTTTCATTTTAATTATTTTTAATGTTTGGGCATTAATCGTGTGCCTGTTGTGCCACTGAGGAGGCAGAACAAGGCCGTGTGGAGTATCACTGCTGCGTGCTGAACCCTCCAGTGGCAAGGAGCAGCGAGGCTGTGCCAGCACCAGCCTTTGGCATGTGGCAGCCTGCGTGCAAGCAGTCAGGACAGCCCAAAGAGCTGGAGAAGATTTGCACTGGCTGTGTAGTGTGGGAGGCAGAATGTGCTTTGACAGGCCCAACATGAAGCTCACCAGGGTGGACCCCAGCAGCTTTTGCTGCCTCCCCATATCCTGCTCCCACCAGGCTGCTGCAAAAGGCACAGGAATGTAATGGGCAATTTAACAAAAGCAAGCTGTGCTTCTTATCCCCTTGTGCTAGCAGGACTGCTGCTGACCTAGCCACTTGTAGATATGCTGCAGGCTGAGAGGACTTCCACCAGAGTTCAGAAATAATGGCCCTTCACCCCAGATGCCTCTAGAGGGAGGGGGCTGGATGGAGGGTCACTTCTCCACTAGTGGCCCAGGATGAGTTGAGGGAAAAAAGACCTCAAAAAAGAGAAGCTGAGTGTTGCCTGCATCCACCGTCTGATGCTGGGCTGGGAGGAAGGTCCTTTGGTTTCCTGTAAAGGGCCTTTTCAAGGAAGAGCTTCAGCTGGCTCTCGCTGTGGTAAGGCTGAGGGAGATGTTATGGCATGGATAGGGCAGAACTGCACACTGCAGGTACTGCTTCAGCATCTGGGGCATTGTAGTGCAAAGAGACAGTATTTTATATTTTATCTGACTTAGGAAGGAAGTAGTGGCAAACTCATTTCAGCTCTCTCTGATGTGCTGCCTGTCATTATGCTGATGAGCAAATGCAACCCATCCTCTACTGTAGAGTTCTTAAACCTAGGACTGCTATTTAGTGTGACAGCCCCAGAGATCAGGCCAGAGTTGGACAGCAGAAACCCCCCGTGATATGGCTGTCCTGAACATCAGGTGCTGCTGATGGCACAAGTATTACAGGAGAAAGCATTCCTGAGTGACGCTTTCACTCCTTAGTAAAAGGGGAAATCAAGAGAAACAGCAGGATTTCTGTGGCATCTACTGTGTGAGTGTCCAGAGCATCACGCCAGGGTGAGTGTCAGGGCCATAAGAGTCCCAGGGACTACTGATGGGGGAGAAGGGTCAGTTCCCACTGATCTTCACTGTAGGTCAGCACCAGGCTGTCTTACCACATACTCTGACATCTTCTTGTCCATACCTTTCATTTTGTGTCACAAGCCATGACAAGATGATTCCCAGCTTTGGTCATGCTTCTTGATGTTTCACCTTGTCTTCCTTTTGCCTTAGCTCCCTTTGTATGAGCTTGTTTTTCCCCTTGTTATAGCACCTGCACTCTTTAAATCTGAACTGTTCACCTGTTTTCTTCTCCCGCCTATCACTTTTAGCTTTCTTCATTGCCTAAGCAACCTGTGAAGATCTTCTCTTAAACCATTCTTCATAAATAACACATTAGTCTCTGAAACATAGGGATGTTCTCCTTTGAAAGCCACCCTGTTTACCTGTCCTGGTCTTAAGGGACTTGACACTTCAAGCTTTTTTTTAGGAAGCTTTTTCTCCTCAGGCTTTTCCTTCCAGTATTCTGGGTTCCAAATGGCATTTTACAAGGACAGTAATGGCCCAGCCAGCGGTGAGAGGTGGATGTTAGAGAAGAGTATAAGAGCAAGGCTAGTGTCTAGTGATACTTACCAACTACTTTAACAATGTCCTGGGACTGTACACACGTGTTAAGATGCTCTGGACTGCATGGGTGAAGTAAATCAAGCTTTGAATCTATTAACATCATTTAATGTCACATACTTCTGCCCTTGGAAGAGACAGCTGACAATTCATCTTTACTCCCTTCTTCATAATATTTATAATTTCACGTCATCTTATCTTTTTTTCTTTGCATGTGTTTATGACTGCTCAAGGGAGCTCTATATTTTTGCATTTTCTTTGTAGCTTGTACTTCCTCCCCTCTTTCAGCATTGTTCTCTCCCTCTTGTTGGTCCTTAATGAAAGTATTTTCTAAGATTGTTGTGAACATCACATGCTGTGGGCTCTCACAGCATTTCATGTGGGTTCCCACAGGATCCACACCTAAGAGTGATATCTCCCCCTTATTTTCATTCATGGGATTATTTCTCAGGAGGTAGTAGTCAAAGAGAAAGTAAATCACCTATGAAATTCAATATGAAAGTGAAATTCAGAGAGTGCAATTGAGAGAATGATATATAGGAACTGCTTGCGTGTAAAACCTTCAGCAGAACACTACAAATAGCCATCAGAGGCCAGGAAAGTTATTGGTTTGAGAGAACATTGAATTCAGGAAAAATATTCAAATCTTCCATTTAAAGAGAAGATGAGCATGTATTTTTTTTCAAGGCAGCATTCTTTTGCATTGCATGCATCTTCCCCCTGTATTGAGCTGGCTGCTCCTAGAAGGAACGCGAGCATCCTCCCACTGGGCAACACGGGAAAAGGATTTAATTTTCCTAGTGAGACACCAGTCAGACCAAATGTCACCATGGCCATTTTGCAAAGTACTTGAAAAAGACTACATTAATCAATGTATTTAAAAGAATATTCAGAAGAGTTGAAGTGCTGCTATTAAAATAAACCCAGGCCATTCTGTAAAACGCAGGTGGGATAAATAGATTTCTGTGGGGAAGTACATCCTTAATGGACAACTTGAAGTGTTTAAAATGGCCTCAAGCTGACAAGTATTCTAACACCTGACTTAAATCAGCGTCTTTCTCAAAACAGGTTCTCTTAAATGTAACGTGTGGATTTTAGATAAGTTATCCCTATTGAATTTATTAATATGTGACACTTCCAAATTTTAAGTGCCACTATATAAAATATTAAAGGTCAGTAACAGTTTGATTTGGGATTATTGAAATAACAGTGTATGTTTGTCACTCCAGTATGTCTCTTACTGATCAAATGCATCATTTAACCATTTAATTTAATTTCCAAAGCATAAAATCCTGACTGCCATTGTGGGGACACTAGATTCACCTTTGAAGGAAAATAATAATAAAAAAATGGAATGAAAATAGTAAAAAAGGACATTTTTATTGCTAAATAAATATATGGTACTTATGATGATGAAGTGTTTTGGAACAATTAAATTGCACAAGCAAGCAAAAAGAAAGCCACTGAGGTGTTTGTGCCATGTTTGGGGAGTGGGAATTATCGGTAGATCCAGCAATTTTGGCTAAAAACAAAAGAAAACCAACTAAAGCTGTAATTGGAAATGTATTGTTTTGGTTGCTGTCAGATTAACGCATTTCAGTATCGCTGTGTAGCCTGTTAGAAGCAGAACAGGGGTGGAAGAACCAGGAGGGGTGGTTATTTGGAGGGAAACATTCACACCAAGAGTATTTTTCCAGAAAAAAAAAAAGAGGTTTATCCTGCTTCAGTTGTGCAAGCATGTTCAGTATTTAGGGATGAATGTGATCTGGAAAGACGTGAAGAACCTGTATTGCACTGAGCAGGAGCTTGGTAGTGAACCCATGGAGTCCCCTCAAGAAACACGATACAAAGTGAGAAGAGCTGGCTCTGTGCAGCTTTAGCAGCCCTGGCTTCTCGCTTTCCCAGCTTGCTGAAGAGCATTGCTGCTGGAGCACTGGGATCTGGTCACTTCATCCTGCCCTGCTGCCCATGCCTGCTGTGGGCTGTTCCTGCTCCCATCCCTTTCCAGCTCTCTGTGGGTACAGGAACCCTCCTGAGATGCCCCAGAATCTCCCTTGCTCAGATGTAGTGTTTAAAACACAGCTCCTGGATGCAAGACCCTAATAAAGAGGATCCTGGCTGCCAGGGCTTGCAGTACAATCAGAGAAGTATTATTTCTGCAAAGGAATGAATTTTAGTCCTAATCCCACAGCATAAGTGTGGAATGGGGATGATTGCTCCATGCGGTCACTGACCTTTCCTGAGTCTCTGCCTGGAATGGCTGTCAAGGCATTTCTTAGTGCTGCAGAAAGTGGTGTTTTGTTGATTTTTCTAAGGTTTTGAGGTTCCAGTCATCACTCTCAGTAGGTTAGGACCTGGTTATTCTTGCTAGAACTTTGGGTTATTCTCACACTTGTGCCAGAATGGGGCACAGGGCCAATGGGTTCCCACCCGTTTCTCTACAGGCGGGAATCTGAAGCAGATTCATGGCAGTCATGTAGCTGGAGATAAATTACCAGGGTGAGTAGGATGGTTGGAGGTAGATTACCAAGGTGATGGAGAAGCTGAAAGCATTGCTCCTGTGTGAGACAACCATTTCAATACTTTTATTTTTCTTTTTTTTAAAGAGTCATGCAAGAAGTTAATCATGCAATAGAGCTGAGGAGCCAGTGCTGGCTACCTTTCTCAATAATTCCTGAGCACTGGGGCAAGCCATGGCAGTACGATACCAGATAAATGTCATTAACT